AAAAAGTTATAAATATAAAATATTCTATAATATAGCTTTTCAAACCTACTCATGCTATATAGAACTTACTCTTAAGGATCTAATCTCTCAATTCTTAATTCAAATACTCTAAAACTACAATATTCTCTACAAAATAGTATCAAATACTATAATTATTTGCTAATCAAAATTTATGAACAACTATATAAACTATTATAGTATAAATTTTGCTAATTAAAAAAAGCAGCAACACTTAATCTATCTATATAACAAATCTAACTCTACTCTAACTCAAATTTGGAAGACCCAAGTTTAAACTCATATTCAAAAACACTAAGCATATGTGTAAAGTATATACATATTCTTGTCTATATAAATTACCAGATTAACTATACTTATATATATCTGTCTACTAGTTGGTCATATCAAGAAGAAAATTAATACTTGATCTATATTCTGAGTCAAGTATAGTATTTTTTTAAATTATATTTTAACTATAAGTCTTTGACTACTTTAATAAATTTAGATTGCAAATAAATTTTTTTTGTCTGAGCTTTTATTTTTATATATAATTTTTATTTTTATTTGTACTAGTACTAATAGTAGTAGCTTTGTAAATTTATATATATATATATAGTTAATAGTTAATCCTGACTACAAGTAGAAGCCTTGGTGACTGTGTTGTAATAATCTATATAGTTATTATTAAAAATTATTATTAATAAAAATATGAGTAGAGCCTTATTTTAAAACAAAAAAAAACTAAAAAATTAATAAAATTTATATAATATCCAAAACTTAAATTAATAATATTTTATTATTAAATATATCTTAAAAACAAAATTTGACTAATTTTATTTATAAATTTAAATATATTAATTATTTAACTCAAATTATATATCTATTGTATAATCTTTATATAACTAAAATTGTTTAATATCATTATTTTATATAGTACTTATACTTTATAGTATTATTTTTTTTAAGAATTGCTATTTTATTATGTATTTATTTAAACTTTTACAATGTTTTTTTATATTATATTTTTAAATTTTTTGATTACAAAATATTTTTATATTTAGTTTAATGGCTTAGATTTACCCATACTAAATTTAGTACTTTGTACTAAATTATAACACACTTTAAACTAAATTATTTATTAAATTTTAAAATTAACTAATTTGTTAAATATTGGTTTAATATAATTTGTAATTTGTACAAGTATATAAAAAGTTTAATAGCTTTAAATAGCTTTTAAATTTTATAGAATTTTTTTTATTTTAAAAATTTTAGTATAATTTTTACTAATAAAAATTTATATTAAAAACTAGATATAACTTTTTTTAAAATTTAAAATAATATAATTTAAGAATAACTAATTTTATATCAAAGAAATTTTATAATTATAATTAGAAAATAAATTTTTGTAACTTTAATCAAAAATTTCAAAAATTTATCTAATAAAAATTTTTTAAATCTTAGCTAAACTTAGATAGCTTATTATAAATAGTAATAATTTGCAATAATTTTTAAAAAAAGGTTATAATATAAATAATAATTATTGTAATATAACTAATAATAATATTTTTAATCATAATAAGTTATTAAAATTTTTATATAATTAAACTTTTAGTTTGCAAATTTTATTAATAAATTATAATTATAATTAGTATTAAAAAGTGTACTAAATTTAGACATCAAAAAATTTTAAAAAGTACTAATTTAAAAAAATTTTTTAAAAAATAATTTTATTATTAATATAAAAAAAAATATTGCTAAACAATTTTTGAATGTTCATCAGATTTTTGTATATAAAAAAAAATTAGGCTATTTAATTTTTTTTGATTTTTTATGAGTTTTTGAAAACTGTCTAAATTTAGTACAAATCAGTAAATCCTATCCATTAATTTAAGCTATTAATCCTAATTATAAAAATTTAAAAACTTAATAGCTAAGCTATAAAACTCAAATCTAATTTTATTTATATTATTTTATTAAATTTTTTTTATAAACTTAAAAAATACACAACTCTTTCCAACGATCCTTTGGTCAACAATTCCAAAAAACTGTATGTGATGGTGGCTTATATATCACCAAGCCAATCAGATTTCATGATTATGCGTAACTTAGCACGATCAGAAAATTGTTCATTTTGTCAAGATCACTTATAACTCAAAAACCTGCGATTTTACTACTAACTCATTATTATCTAACTTAATATAAATGTTAGCCCAAACTTTTACGAACTTTTAAAATTTTATCGGTCTCATAAGTCACAATATCACATGCGTGGCAAATAATTATAAAAATAAATATTTAAGGCTATTAGAAGGCTCAATTACTATTAATTTTGGGTCGAAATAACTCTGATAAAGTTGTAAATATATATAAATATACATTATAAAAATCGGTTATATAGTAACATGTAGTGATGTGAAAGTTTTATTAGTCCTTGTCTAACAGTCAAAACCAGAAGTCCTTGCATTGTCTATGGTTGCCGAAAAGCCAAATCAACAAATATGAGATTCTTTCACTGCCTAAGCAGTCGTAAAGCTAATCATCAAACAACACACCAAAACATGGGATCCTTATGCTACCTTCTACAGCCGCGGAGCATAATCATAAAGTGAGTTCCTTGCACTACCTACAGCAGCTGTGGTGCCTAATCACAAGATATGAGTTCCTCGTATTGCCTGCAGTAGTCATGGAGCTAATTACTACTATTAGAACTTATTAAACAAGTGTCAAATAATTCTCTTAGTTTACGAGCTACTGAAAGACGGTGGACGATAGAGCCAGACTTCATTACAAGGCGAGCGAGCGAGAAGAAAGATAACTTCCTCTACTACCAAACGTCCTTAAATATCCTTGCACTGGCAATAAGACAGTCACATCTTTCCTACGTTGCTGATTACATGTTCAGAACCGGATGGTTACACCTTGCCTCCCTTATCCGTTTCTGACGATCATAGTAGTTCATATTTCAACTATCACATGCAAACAATATTAACCAGAAAAACACCAAATGCCAAAGAAATCCATAACAAGCTAAAGGACAAATTGAACACAGGAATCCGCAATAATGGTCGCTTTGTCACTTCATTAGAAAGCTTCTCAATTTGTTCTATTTCAAATGATGTTTTCACATCAATAAGATATTCATCCCATTTGCCCATCTTTAGATGTGTTTTTCCGCGATATTTTAGTGTTTTTGCATCATTTTGATCTATTTCTAATGAATTATTTAAATCTTTAAGTGATTCTTCATACATTCCCAGTTTTTGATAGGTTTTCCCGCGATATTTTAATGTTTCTGCAACATTCGGATTAATTTCTAATGCACAATTTAAATCTGCAAATGATTTTTCGTATTTGTTCATCTTACGATAAGTTACTCCACGATATTTTAATGCTTCATCATCATCTGATTCAAGTTCTAATGACTTATTTAAGTCTTCAAGTGATTTTTCATATTTTCCCATTTTTTGATATGTTAGACCACGATTTCTTAATCCCCAAGTATTAGTTGGATCAATTCCTAATGATTTGTTCAAATCTACAAGCGATTCTTCGTACTTGCGTATTTCTCGATAAGTTGCTCCACGAAATATCAATGCAAATACATTATTTGGTTCGATTTTTAGTGATTTATTTAAATCTGCAAGAGATTCTACATATCTACCAGTTTTTCTATAAGTTTCTCCACGAATATTTAGTGGACATGTAAAATTAGGTTCTAATGCCAATGATTTGTTTACGTCTTCGAGTGATTGCGTATATTTCTTCATTTTAAGATATGTTGCTCCACGATAAGTTAATGTCCGTGCATTATTTGGTTCAATTTCCAATGAGTTATTTAAGTCTTCAAGGGATTTATAATATTCTCTCATAAAGAAATACGTAAAACCACGAGATCCTATAACTGCTGCACTGTTTGGATCAATATCTAATGATTTATTTAAGTCTGCAAGTGATTTTTTATATTTTTTCAATCCTCGATACGTTTCACCACGAAGACATAATGTAAATGCATCATTCGGCTCAATTTTTAATAACTTATTTAAATCTACAAGTGCCTCATCATACTGCTTCATTCTAAGATAGGTTTCACCACGAGTTCTCAATGCAGATGAATTATTTGGTTCTTTTTCTAATGACTTATTTGAATCTGAAAGTGCTTGTTCATGTTCTGTCATTCGGAAGTCCACAAGTATAGATCTGCCAAGGAAAACTGGTCTCATTCGTATACTATCTAACTTATGCAAAATTGTAGAGATTTCAGGACGTAGTTTTGGATTATCATCCCATGCTTCACAATAAAGAGCTACGAAGTCTTCTGGTGTCCCATTAATTGAAGATTCTCGTTTGCCATCAGATACATGAAGAAGTATTTGATTTATGGTCATATTCTTGAACGGAGGTCTTCCACTTGACAATTGCCAGAAGAGCATGCCGAGACTATATATATCGGAGGATTTATCTCGGCTATAATATAGATTTTGGAGTTCTGGGGCAGAATATGCAACACGTCCACCATCAATAGATATTGAATTAGTTCCTAACGATTTAGATAAACCGAAATCGGCAATTATCATTCTGCCATTATGCACTAATATGTTCTTATCATGAAGGTCACGATGAGCAATATTCGCACTATGTAAGCAACTAATTCCTCTAGAAATTTCTTTTGCCATTCTAAATTTATCTTTCCAGTCCAATTTAGAAAAATGTTTTTGTAGATAGCTCCCAAGGTCTTCATTATTTGCGAATTGAAGAACCATACAATATTCTTGAGTATCAGGATCTAATTCATATTAAATATTAAATTTCATATGATTAGGTTTTAATGAAATTCATTGATATATTGCACAAAATTAATTCGCAGCATGGCAAGAATTATGAAATATGCTCGGCGATGTGAACGTGCAATGTCAAGACATATTTCGTTATTTATCAACTGCAAGAATAATTTTTCTTTATTACAAGTTTTGTCACTGATTTTATAAAGCAAAATATAACTAACGATGTGTGTTTTTTTTCAAATTTCATGCACATGAAATATCCAGCTGTTTAGTTTGTTATAATAAACAAATGTTTTAACCTTTTATTACTAAAATGTTCGTCATAATGAGATGATTCTAACGAGCCTAAAATCATCCAAATCCAATGACAGGATCTTGAGATATTTACGTGTCAAACAAGCGACGCACATCCAACGGTGGAACGATCAGTTTGACATCGTCAATACTATGTCGAACTGATCGTTTCACTGTCACTATTTGACACGTAAATATCCCAAGATCCTGTGCTTGGATTTTGATGATTTTGAACACGTTAGAGTCATCTCATTATGACGAACATTTGGTAATAAAATTATTTCAAACAGACGAATATATATTAGAAAAATAATTAAATATACTATATATATATTATAAAAATTACATATTTATTATAAAACCAAACAAGTGGAATTACATTAGCAGTAATTTGATAGTGAAGGAGAGAATATTTTAGTTTTTATAGAAATGTAAACAGTTTTTAGAGTAATTATGATGAGTAGGTTATGCTTTATATAATTAGTGATAAATTTTCAAACTTTGAATTATATCATACCTTGAGTGACTCCATAGAGTTTTATGATATTTTCATGATTGAATTTGTTAAGTTTTTTAACCTTAAAATAATATTGATCGTAACGTTCAGAATATCAATGGTTTATCACGAATTATATTATAAATATTATAAATATGATCTATACTTCTTTTATAAAAGACTCTTGGTTATCACGAACTTTTTTTAAGGCTACAACTTCTTTTCTAGCTTCTGAACAAGCTTGATATACATCGCCAAATCCTCCTTCACCTAGGAACTTTAACTTTCCAAAAGAACTATACTCAAATAATTTAATTTCTTCTTTTTCGATAGCTTCTTTTATTTTTTTTAATGATGCCATTTTGTTTTCAATTAAGCAATTTCGAAAAGAACTGCCTTTTATACTATTTATGTTATATAATCACACTATGTTATACAAAACCCTATATTATACAAATATAACCAGACCCGTTCGGTTTTTTTTTTTACCCAGTTACGTAGGTGTTTTATTCTAAATTTGGAAATAATAATAATAACGATAAGCTATGCAAATCTTCGGTTTGATGATATAACGTTAATTATACTTAATAATATGATATCATCGCGCCAAGAAAATTCTAGAAATATTCGTTTTAAATAAATCCGCAGTGTTCTATCATGTGCAAAGAGAATTTTTAAATCATACTATTGCGACAGTTAAAAGATTTTAAAAGTCATCGTCCAGACTAAAATTATCATGCATACTAAGAGAATTATTTGCGAATATAGTATAAAAACTTAACGTGCACCCAGAGAAATAATAATAATTAATTAGAAATGGATCTTTTATTAGTAAAGTCATTATTGGAAAGTTTCGGAAAATGTAATTAAATTTGTGTTACTTAAAATTTTACGATTTTTTTTTTTTATTTACTTTTAGGTGTGATTATTAATTATAATTATTAATTTACATTACTTTGACAAATTTTATTGGTTGTTATATCGGAAATTTTGTGCACTGTTTGGTTCTACTAATTATTCACGTATCGGAGTATCTATATTATTAATCAATTTTATAGTTTGAGAGTATTTTTTTTTAAATTAAAAAATCTGGATAGTTTATTAAATCAAAGTAAAATGAAAATGCACAGCATTTAAACAAAAATGAATAATTTGGTGTTGATAATATAACATCTCATGATTTTGCCTTCGGGATTACATAACATCGGGATTGTGACATCCCATTGGGATTGTGAGCATCGGGATTACATACCATCGGTACTGTGAGCGTTGGGATTAAATTTCATTGGGATTATGAACATCGGGGTTACATACCATCGATAAGAAATTCTTTTACACAAATATGATTTAAATTTTCTGTTATAAAAGCCAATTCTTAATACTCATGATTAAAATGTTTAACGATCATAAAAGTTGATTTTAAAATAGTCCAGCATTAAAACTATCATAATAACTTTTAATAAAATTTTACATATAATATGATTAAAACTTCTTCACATAATTATGATT